CATTAGCCTTAAAGAGTATTGTGGTTTACAGTAACAGATTGTGCAATCGGAAAGCGGGGATGGTAGTCAGCAGAGAGATATAGCTCTCATCTCATGGAGCACGGTCATTATCTCATTTTGTTTTTAATAATACTGTTGCATGTAATGGATAAATCTATTTTTCTGACAAAACTGATCTATTTTATCTTTGAAAAACTGCCTTTGAAACAATACAACTTTTAACCTGCTTTGTTTTTTTAAAACTTTGTCCTGTTCAGCAGAGTGTTGATAGAGTTGTGACCACCACATTTGCTTTGCTAATGGAAACTTTAATCCCAGAGCAAGAAAAAATCTGCTTTGTATGTTGTAATCATACTTCCTGCTTTCAGTTAAACGGATTTCTTTATTCCAAATATGGGATGAAATCATGAAATATGATGTAAACTGCCCTGCAAAAACACACACACAGTGAATTTGTCTTTGAAAAGTGAAGCTAAAACAGGAAACTGTTGTCATTTTCACCCTCCGAAATGTACACAGCCATGCTTCGTTAACCAGGCATGCCATCAGAGGAACAGCAGCTATTTCTCGGAAAAGAATTGTTTTGTGTCTTGTCTGGCTGGCTTATTTTTTATCCGATTTATTTATTTTTTTAAGCCGGTTCCCTTGCTTGACGTTGCGTTAATTTGCCATCAGCTAAATTGATGTGCTGGTACACCTCGGTACTGCAAAGGCCTATTACATATTTCCTGTCTTCTTATGTATAAAGTGTAGTAATGATCATCTATAAGGTTCACACGTCTTTATGAAGTAGTCTTGCAAGCAGGATTGTGTTATGGCTAATGTACCAAAGAAGGAGGAGAAAGGTAAGGCTGAACTCCACCAGCCATTTTACAAAAAGAAAACTGAAAAGGAAAAAGAGAGAGAGAGAACAAGAATGGTTAGATAAGTAGGAAGTGCTCTGTACTGGTAATGTCTCAAAAAAAGAAATTGCTGACTTTCAAAGAGATTGTTGCAACGAACGTTGATTTGAAACTAAACTGTTTTTCTGTTTTTTTGTTCTTTTTATTTATACCCATTTTCACTTCCTCTGACTTATGTCCATGGGGCAAATCGACATACTTTTCATATCAAGCTTAAATTCAGCTCTGTGTTCATGCCTGTGGGCCGAATTCATTGAACTGTGCCAGAATTTTAAAAAGAGCATTGGTCATTTGAACAGCATGAACTGTGGGAGTTTTAATATTCAGGGCCCTCTTGAATAGAATGAAAGTAATTCAAACAGATGCACAGTTTGAACCAAAAGCAAACAATAAATGCAAAACCTTTCCGTCTTTGTCAGCATGAATATTCCAAAAGGATTTGGCTGCAGCGTTGGGCAGTAGTTGTAGTTTGTGAACACTAGAGGGAACAGTTGAGTTTGAAATGACAGACCGTCAGTCATTCTCAAGAGTGACACATTTTCCATGGCCAGTCATGCAAATTTGCATCGCAATAATGTACCAATATTACCTAATCCAGCGTCAGAACTACTCACACAGACATAGGTCTCCTTTTCAAGTGTTTCCGAGTGATTTTGAAACACTAAAACGTCACACGCAAACCATGATGATACTCGAAAACTCATATTGGTAAACACTATAAGACACTGGCTTATGAGTTCCTCAATCTTTATGAGAAGTGGGTTGTGTTTTTTTTCTTTCTTCATAAAGCTTTAAGAGAGAGCGGCTATTTTAGTCTTTGTAACTTTCCGGGCTGTATGCCAAACCCACCGAGAGGTTTAAAAACTGACAGTTTCTGCATCAACGGTTTGGCTGCGGCCGAATGTTTTTAATGATGAAGAGATAAGAAAAGGCCTAATCACACGAGCATAGATTCTTAATAGTCTTTAGTCCTACTTGCTCGCTCATTTGCTTTTAAATGAGTGGAGTAATTCTGCGGAGAGCAAAGGGGCCAAAGAACAATTGTCCAAGGCAACGTGCGAACGCCTGAAATGAGGAATTGGTCGCCACATCTTCACCCATCATGATCTTTGTTCACAAAGAGGTGTTAAAAATTAACGCTGACAGGAAGTCACAGGGACAAAACTCAACCAAGTTGAAGGTGAACAAGCAAATCTTAAACGGGGATCGTGGCCTGTCACAAGCTTACATTTCACTCACATTTGTTCAAATTCTTCCATGTGTAGATGATAAGGGGCAAATATGAACTGTGAACTCTCCCTGTGTATGATTTTTATAAATAACTTGCTTCCAAAAAAGACCCTCAAAGAGCGTACTCATTTACAGAAGACTCGCAGTTTAAGCGAAAGAAGATCTGAAACAATTGTGCAAGTCAGAGCACACTTTCAGACTCACGTTCGAGGAATTGTTGCTGCCGGGAAAGAGAGGAAGATGGAGGAAATTAGTGTCGCACACTCATAAAGAGTCCTTTTTTCCCTGCTGTGTGTCACGTAAACGCTGCAAATGAGAATTTTCATTTCATTTGTGGTCACATATTCTGGATGAAATTTCCTGTACTGTATGTTGGACCTGTGGGTGTAAATGTTGGTGAAAGGTCTCAGTGCTTGGCTATGCTAGAAAGAGTTTAGACCGAATGACTAAGTCGCCATGACAGGAAACGTGAAAAGCGAGTCTTTTTTTTCTGTTATTGTTTGTTTGAATATTTCTATTACGTGCACATTGATTTAGAATTTTTCAAACAGTTCCACTATAATAAAAAAAAACAATCTGTAAATAAATGTTATCAATAGAACATGCATGCAAATAAATGTATGGATTTATGTTCTATAGTCATTACGATTTCATGTTTTACAAACACCAGAAAGCACAAACTGCCTCCTTAAAAGAATAGCTAATATATATATATATATATATATATATTTGACTTCTCATACCCGACTCTCACAATCAGCACTGCGGGCCGTGCAATATAAACCAGCTGAGTGTGCGTAAGAATGGCAAAGGATTTCAAGACAAAAAGGGGAAGCTGAGCTGTGGCACTGACAACTCCCACAGCATTCTTGTGTGTGTTCATGAGAAGAAGGAAGCAGTGGTGACAGACAGATGAATGAAAAAGCTGCATCCGCCAACTCAGGGTAGGTAAGTGGGAGGTGTGTTGTCACTGACATCCCTTTCTCCTATGGCTACAAATCACTTCATTAACAAATCTACACGGCTCCGACATAATACAAGTCAAAGGTTTGCAAACACTTTTCCAGACGTTTTCAGTGGCTTTGGTTGGTGGTGTGCATCGCTACAGGATCAAGTGTGATCAGAAAAGGCCTTCTATCCTCATATAAGCTGAAGGCCGTGTGCTCTCTGCACATCGAGGAGGATTTGTATGGTTGTTTATGATGCTGTTGTCAGTTGTTTTAGGGTTGTTTTGTTGCTTTCTGTTTATTACAGGCATATTTGAGGTTGTTAAGAGATTTTTTGTTGTCACTTACTGTTTCATTTCAACTATTTGCCCATCTTTGAGATCATTTAGTCTTTTTGGTTGAGTCTTTACAGTTGTTTTTCAGCTTTTTTGGTTGGTTATTTCTCTTTTTTTGCTTTTTATTTGCCTTCAGTATCCATGTGGTGATCCAGAGTTTTTGTGGTCATTGCAGCGGTCTTTGGGACCCAATTCTGTCAGCTCTTTGGTTGTTCTGGGTGTCTTTGTGGCCGTTTTGTGTGTCGTGGAACTGTGCGTGTTCTTGTGGTTGTTTGTCAAGCTTTGTGTTTCTCTGGAAACAATGCGCAAGTGAACACGCTTGGACTAAATATCACGGACAGACTGTTCTTTGTCACATCCTACTGATAGCTTGTTCATCGGCTGAAATATGAACCTTTCGCTTCTGTTCACTAAGCTTTTTGCCTAATCTGGCTGGCCCACATCCCAGTTTCACAACCTCAGATGTGAGTGAAGTGTCTGAAGTGTTTTCATCTCTCTCCCCCCCGACGGCTACAGGCCAGCATCTGGATCAGCGCAGCCAAACGCAGGTCCACATGCTTTTTAGTTCCAGAGCTAGCGCCGGATGACGGGTTTCCCCCGACCTGCTACTGTAGGCAGCGACTACAAAGGCAGAAGTCGCACCCAGCCGACCCTTAAAATCCCCCTCTTTTGTTCACTCTACTTCAATCAAGGCAGCTTTGCATTAATTTCCTCTTTTATCTGAAACTGCTACATCTTTTCATACCACGTCTTGCTTTTTTTTTATTGCATACTTTTTTATTTCAATTTCAATGTGTTCACAGCTCGGACTACAGGGATTTACGTTTTTTTTTCACTTATTTCTTGGATATTTTATTTTTTATTTTTTAAAGAAACTTTCAGTGAACCACAAATTATTCAGACAAAATGGGACTGAGAAAAGACAATGAATGAGCTATTAAACTTTGTTCAAATTTGATGTTCTGTCGATGTATTTGTTTAGGTACAAAGAAATTAATATATTAGGAAAATTCAAACGCAATAAACCTATAGTAAAGTATATATATACACATTCCCTTAAACTGTGATGAAATGGAATGACTTTGTAATGACATTTTGTGTTTTGTGGGTGGCTGAAACTGCCTGCGGCTTCCTGTTGTGCCTGATGTTACATGTTCGAGTTTTACTTTGCCCTCCTCAAACACTGTTTCTCTAAACACTCACCGTTTAGTTTTTCGATTTAGTCTTTTTATTTTTATGTCGGCCCCCCAGTGTGCGTTTTTTTCTTTTCTTTTTCATCTGTCACATGGGGAGCTAAAGATAAGAGGAAGGCGTACTTGTGGTGACTTCACACAATATGAATAGAGTAAAAGGGGAAGGATAATACTTGTGTGGTCATGACTCATTTCTTCGTTATTTCTAGTAAATGAGCATTTTTTGCTTTCAGTCTGTCTCTCAGACACACAGGCACTCTTTCTACAATCGTAACCGGCGTCTTATCTGATGTTCAGACCTTTAGATGATGTGGATAAACCGCTGAGCGGGTTTCCTGGGATCTAAAGGAGAGAGAAAAAGTGGAGGGGGGGTGATCAGCCCTAGGAGGGGTGATGGATCTCTTCTGGGCACTGCTGTGGTCAGTGCTCCCCAGCTTGGCTCTTCTCTCTGGTCTGGATCAATGCGGCATCCATGAAAGCAGCAGCTCAGAGAGTGGTGAGTTTTAAACTGGCACGATTCTTGAAAAAACAGACTCCTTCTCTACAGTAACTTTTAGCCGAGTTTGTTGGTACACAGCTATGAGTTCTTCCATGTAAAAACTCATAGCTATGTAAGAACTCATGTTCTTTCTTTTTATGTGGAGGTTATAAGAGAAGGCCGTCTTCCAATGAGAACAAACATTCTTGCTTCACAATAAGAAAGAGGGGTATCCGTACGGTTTCATGTTTGAGGATCGCATTACCGACGGACAATATTTATTATTGTGACAAAGATTACATTCATGAATAAGTCTGTTATGCACATTAACAACAGAAATGTTTATTAGAAAGAAAAGTGTTTATCATTCTTGAGCCATCTCTCAATTCTTGAGCCTTCCTTTTTCAAAGAACCGGGTTTCGTATCTAGTTTTAAAGCGTCTTTGATCAATAGATCAGTGGTAAACCAGAATTTCTGAATGTCTATCATGGACTGCTTTGTCACTCATTTTATCTCCAGACCTTGCACCTGAATATTCAAGAAATTTTTTTCTCTTTTCTTTATTTTTGTGATAAAGCTACTGAACCCCTTACCCTAACCCCAATCAATCATTTTAGCTTTAAAAAAATCTTCTTGCTTCTATGAAAAAACAAATCCTAAAAATAACAGTATCTTAGAATGGTGTGATTTGAGCCAACTGAACGAGTGTACAAATAAGAATAAATAAATAAAAAATAAAAAATGTCTGACATTAGTGAAGCATAATATGATCATCATAACATTAAATTTGAACAACAGGCACTTATTCCTTAAGACTAAAGAAGACTCAAAGAAATTGCATGGAAAATCAGGCTGGAAAAGTTAAAGCTGGATATACCAAATATCGACCCCCAGACTAAAATTGTAGAGATTATTTTCGGCTGATCGACAAAAGAATTGTTGCTGCCGTCAAAAAATTTTTCTGCTGATGTAAAAAAAAAGAAAGAAAATGGAATTCTACACAATGCTGTACTTTAACCTGCATATATATATGTCATATTTTCTTAGTAATGTAGAAAGTGTTTTTTAGATTCTTTTATTTACTTAAGGGTGCGTTTTCCGGTCTAACCCAGGCTCGCCTTTGCTGGAATCTGTACGCTGCTACAACGACTATAAGTCCCGTGTGCTGTGCAGATGGAAGAGGCCCCGAAACGAACCAATGCAGCTCTGGTTCAAGACAGAAAACAGCAGGTAAACACAACAACGGACAGGCTGAAGGGGTCAGGGGGATTACTCTGAACGGGTCCTTTCTGGGGAGGGTTTGTGCGTGCCTGACCCGTCTGCCCGCCTCATCACAGAGCGCTGTGCGTGCCCTTGGACGCCGCAAACCCAGCTGAGCACAGAACCGTCCGCTGCAGTTATGAAACGACCGTGTTTGCCATCGCCATCACCCACACCGTCTTCTTCCTCGACAACAGAACGGCGGCCTTGTGCTCATCTGCCCCGCACAGGTCCGTGGACCTGTTCGATCACAGTGAGTCATTTGCCAGTTTTTTTTCCTTTCTTTTTTTTGGGTCCAAAAATCATTATTGCTCATTGCTGTTGTCTTTGTGTTTGTTTTTGCGTAGTGAGGGCGCTTCCACCCGTGAACGTGTCCTCCGTCGGGGCGGGTGACGGAGGCCGGCGGCTGAGCTGGGCCAGCCCCTACCCTCCTTCTTCCTCCTTGAACAGAAACCTCACGTATCAGCTCAGCTACAGAGCGCAGGCTCAGGACCTCTGGACCGTAAGCCTCAGACTTCCTTCCTCATCTGGAAAGATCAAAAAGTCCTCCCCTCCTCCGCCTGCAGCACTCGTGACGCTCCTTTTTCTCCCACGCAGACGGAGAACGTGGCCACCTGCGCGGTCACTGTTGAGAAGCGACTGCTGCTTCCGGGTCACAGCTATGAAGCCCGGGTCAGGGCCCGGGCCGGCGTGGGCCAGTGGAGTGACTGGAGCCCTGTGGTGACCTGGCAGACCGAAGAGGGTCGGTCCATCCATCTTCTCTCTTCTGGTGTCCACTCCTCTCTGCCCGAGTGGGAGTGCAGGAGGACGCTGGGTCTTGGCAGCAGCCGTTGACTTTCTACCCTTTTTCCTCAGACTTTGGACAGGCTCCCGCTTTGAACTGTGTCCTGGCAGGCGAAAAGGAAGTGGTTTGTAGCTGGGAGGTGAGCAGAGAGCTGGCTAACCTGGTCACCTACCAGTTGGCCTGCCGACGCAGGCGGACCGCCCAGTGAGTTCAACACAAGGCTCTTAATCACTCAAATTGGGATTAAAATAAATAAATAAAAGCGTTTTGCCAGCTTCCATTCATTCACTGCTCTCTCACCATCTATTCGTTTAGGCCTGAGAAATGCTGCTCAAACCCTACTATAAATCTGGGCCAGAGTGGGAGGGTGAGCTACAGCTGCTCGCTGACTGACCCTGAAGGTCTGCAGCTGGAGCTCCAGCCGGCACACAGTGCAAAGACTTTTAGAGCCCACCAACACAGTGAGTGGACGGCAAAGCGAGGACGCAGGTTTAAAAGGAGAGGAGAAGGGCTTAAGGAGAGAAGAAAGTATCAATCTAAATTTAAATCAATCTAAATCAAAGTGCTCAGGAGCTAAAGCTGAGCTGAGCAGACAAATGGTGGTCAACTCTCTACCAGGCTTGTGATTGCGCAGCTCCACCTAGTGTTTGAATGGTGTCATTGCATTCATTTTGTTCCTTGTGTATACTGCAGTGTTTCTAGGAGGTTATATGACCAACAGCCCTGTAGGTTTTAGGCTTTGAGGCATGACGCTTTATTAAATATTAAACTCTGTTATAAATTTTGCCAAAGGTTTTACATGATCGCAAAACTTTTAAAGAATCTTTTTCTGAAATAATACCTTTACTTTATTGTATGACATTGATCTTTTAA